CATTTCTTGTACTCTTAGGCTTTATTCATCCTCTCTGTACTTATTAATATACTTGAAGTAGATTCATGTATTTATTCAGGAATTCTGAAAGAAAAATTATAAGCCAAGATATTCCTTAGATTGTGCTTAAAAAGACTCTTAGTTCAGTAAGCCTCTTTTGTGGAGATTTAATGTTAAAAACATCAGGTTATTCATTATTGACACCATAAAAAGAAATACGCTTTATTGCTGCCATTACACAAGTTTATTGTGGTCTGTTTTGTTTTGCTTTGTTTGTGAGTGTGTGTGTACACATGTGCTAGGGAATGAAATGAATCCACATCGTTAATCAGATTTTGCTGATTGACACTTAATACAGAATGATGGAATAGCTCTTCCTTTTGTTTCTTTTTTTTCCACATTGCAAGTCAATCAAACCCATATACATCTTTCAATGAAGTTTACTGATTTAAAGGAAGATGACTAGAGTTAATGAAAAGATATAGTCAACTCACTGATAATCTAAACAAAAAAATCTTATTGTTTTCCTCAAGTTGAAAAGGAAATTATCTTAGTCCTTTGAGTATAAAAGTGGTGAAAAATTATAGTTTCAAAATAGTTGTATCACAAAATACTTGATTTCTTTTTTCATACACAGTTTTTGTGGGGATGGGCAGAGCTCACTTAGAGCCCTGCAGAGCCCATGTCCCTTGATTCTTATCCAGTTCCCAAGAAAGAGCAGCATGCAGACCTCTCTGGTACACGTAGCTCTTTTCTCCACTTTGATGGAGATTTTCGTGATAAATCTAGGTACAGAATTTCTTTTGAATATGAATTTTCACCTGATTATCACATTAAGAAATTCACTTAGCCAAGTTTTCTTTTCTTTTTAGAGAGTAAAATTTAAAAATGTTTTTTCTTTGTACCAGAAATCGAGCTCAAGACCTTGTGGCAGGTGCTGTGCCGCTGAGCTATCAACCCAGCCTGACTGGCTAAGTTTTAAAGCATAACTTTTCTCATATAACTTTTGAAACACTGAATTAAAAATTAATTCTTTGGTCACAATGAAAATACATGGAAATTAGTTAAATTGATGACATTTTAAGGTGTTTTAGATATTCCATGGAAAGAAAGAAAGAAAGAAAAGAAGGAAGGAAGGAAGGAAGAAAGCAAGCAAGAAAGAAATGTTAAATAAATCAGAGATAAAGGGTTGCATGGGTAAAGGGTTTTCTTACACATTTGTAATACTGTTTAGTATATTATAGACTGAAGAATTCTGCATTTAAGAAAATTGATTAATTGTATTTAAACTAACATTTTCTAAGTATAGTTGGTCTAAAACTTTTAAGAATAACAAACACATCATGTGAAAAATAGGGTGAGAAATCTTGATTGCCAAAGTGATATGATGCTTGCTTGATGAAGCAACCACTCTAACTCTTGCAATGTCCTACAGAATGCAACGTTTCTATCTGATTTTTATCTAACTTATTGGCAGTATCTTAACAGTATCATTTTTGCCTTTATAATCACTTTCTGCCCAACAGCAAGATTCATAATTGCAAAAACTTGCTCTCTACATGCTGAAGACTAAAACTAGACCTGTGTGTACCACTATGCACTAAAGTAAAAATGGATCACAGATCTAAATATTAAAGCAGAAACACTAAATCTACTTGAAGAGAAAGTAGGTAAAAATCTTGAAGACACAGGTGTAGGCAGAGAGTTCATGAATAAAAAGGAAAACAGAGAAGGAAAAGGGAAAAGGCAGGTCAGTTATACTATTAGAGTCTCTTAGTTCATTGAAAAGGGAAGTTTGTGCTAATTTTTTTTTTTTTTTTTTTTTTTTTTTTGTCTTTTTGAGACAAGGTCTTGCTATGTAGTTCAGGCTGGCCTTGATCTCATTTTGTAGCCCAGACTTGTTTTGAACTCACAATGATCTTCCTGCCTCAGCCTCCCAAGTGCTGGGATTACAGGCACATGCCACCACTCCCTGCTGTGCTAATATTGATTGGAGAAGTTTTTATGCCCATATCTTTTACTGTGAGCAACTACTTTAAAGATAGCAACATGCAATATATTAACTATTGCTATTCTTCTATTATTTTGTTATGAAGTTTTGTTTTACCTTTTACCTATAAAACTAAAATTTCATAATTGCAATGTCAAAAACCCAACCTCTACCAAGTTTATTTATAGAATTTCCCAAGTATCAATGTCCTTGTTGATAGTCTATTTTATTTAGTTTCTTAAATATTCCTTTCACATGCATTTGACACAATCTTTCTGGCTGATTTCCTTTAGCCTATTTAGTTGTCTTCTACTTAATATAAGTTTGCTCCTGTGAACTGATAATAAGGTTGTTATCTTGTGGTCAAGGCAGGTGTACATTCAAGATAAAGTACTAATTTTTCAGTGTGGCCCAAAAGATTCTGTGTTTGGTCCTAAGGTTGCATGGGACTGTGAATCTGTATCATCACGACTAATGGAAGTTTCGCCAAGATCCATATAAACAAGTAAACATGGGCTGCTGCTTCACACTGTCACTGTAAACCTGTTTGAGGTCTCAGTACTTTAATACCTGTATTATCTCATAAATCTCATGGATAATTATAATAATATTTTATCCTACCTTGGATATAGACATAGCTTACAAAGTTGCTTTCCCTGTGAGTATTTTCACATGTCTTGACAGAGATGATTCATTTTGCTAGTCTGTCACCATCACATACAAAGAACTCTCGTAAGGTAGTTTTCTTTCAATCAGTTGTAAAAGCCATTGACCATTCTCCAGTGCAACTTGGAACCCAGTGCCTTTGCAATAAGCCTGATCCTTAACTTCATCATACATATGGATTTCCCATCACATATGTCACAAACCCTGGCAAAAGTTCCACAAAGAATTATTTGCCATTTAGTACTCAGAGATGAGATAATGTTCATCATGGGAACCCAAATATTCATGCAATTTGTTTTGATCCAAGGTCTGTGATGATCTGGCTCTCATATGTTCTTCAATTGATCTCTCATCTATTATTTTTCCTTATTAAAAATAAATTATTGTCATTCAAATATCCTATTCTCCCTTGTGCCATGATTTGGACATGCTCTTTTCTTCATGAGAATGTCGACCCCTTTCTTTATCACCTAATCAAACCTCCTATTTCCAGGTTTGATTTTTAAAATTACCATTTCTAGGCCATCTTTCATAGCCATTCCTAGGCTCAAAGGCAATTTTAATTGCTGTGAAATTAGTAAAGATGAGAAATTAGAATAGTATACTATTTAGTATGGTAATAACTACTTTAACATATAAAATCTCAAATATAAAATGGTTAGGATACAATAGAAGTTTATTTTACAATCATATAAATTCTTAGAGATTTCTTACTAGTGGGAAGTCCTCCAATGACTGACTGAGAATGATAAGTTTGTTCTTTCAAGTAACTTCACCATCCTCAACACTGTATTCAATCAGTGGAAGAAAAAAAACAGATGAAGAAGGGACAAATACTTAACAACTTTGACCTGGAAGTGACTCACTTCCCCTCATTTCCTTTACATTAGAACAAGTCATATATGGTTCGGTCTGGGTGTATTGAGTTTAGGAAGTTTTGCTCTTGATCACACAACAGTTTCTTGGTGACAAGTCCTACCATGGAAGGAAATGCCAGAGTTTTGGGAATGACAATTATTTCTAACACAATAGATATTCTACCACTGTAGGGCCAGAGATATAGCTCAGTGGAGCAAGTGCCTGCCTAGCAAGGGTAAGACCCTGAGTTTGATTCCTGATACCAAAACCCCCCTCAGAAAACACATTGTAAATGACTAACTCCAACTTAAGAATGTTGTAATAGTAAAGTTATTTATTAAAGTCATTCACTGTTAGTTCTGAGAAACCAGGAGTGTCATAGGGAATCTAGCAACCCATGAAACTTGTGGTAGAGGTAAGAGAGTGATTGGTTCCCAGCATACAGTATCCAAGTTTGATGACTCTAAAACAAAGTAAGAATGTGTTTTATCCAATTTTGCAATGTAAAAATCCCACAGACAGACTTTAGCTGATTGACTGTTGTGTTTACTCACCGGACCAATTACTGTGGCTACTACTAAGGAGCCCTCTGATTGGCTAAGCCTGACTCTACATCTTGGTTGTGATTGGCACTATAATTAGCAACTCTGTGCAAGAAGAGGTTAAGATCCAACTCTCCAAAGGAGGGTAGAAGCACTATTACCAAAAGAATGAACAAAGATTTTATAGTTAAAACAGAAAGGTATAGATAAGCAAATATTTATTACAGAAATACTGTTTGTAAAAATCAAGCATAATGCATTGAAATTCTAAGATTTCCTAAACTTTTATTGGAAAACTCAATTTTCCTTTTGGCTTCCTCACTTCCATAATAGAACAATGACCTTAACTTGATAGTTACAAAGAGAAGAACTTTAATCTTCTTTATTTGTGGAAATCACCAAATATTGTTTCATTTTAATTTAGATTTCATTTTCCCATATAAAAACATATTTCTAAAGAGCAATAATGTGAAGATAATATATAAAGTCCATTCTTCCAATTGGACACAGGTCAAAATTAGTATTACCATATATTCTAGTTTGTCCAGGATTTTATATTTGTCCTGTTTTATACTTATCTTAGAATGTGAAAAAAATTTAAAAGTGCTTAAAGAAATTATTTCACTACTTAATTGTCACTATTTAATATAGTTTTCCCTCAATTGCCTTTGTTAAAATATGAATCCAAGTACTTGAAAATGTCTGTGGTGAGAAGAAAAAGCAATGTTTTCTTAACTTATTTAGGCTACTAAGCTATAACTAGTGAGGCCCATAAAGTACTTTAAAGATTCCTATGCCTAGTACTTTCAGCAAAAATAAAAGTGAACCGGCCCATAAAAAATTAGAACAAGTGAATTCCTAAAAGTTAGGAATGGGTGTCTAGTTATTTTCTTTGTGGCTGAGACAGCTGCAAGTTAAAGGAGGGAAGGTTTATTTTTACTCACAGTTTGTAGAAGTTTCAGTCCATAGTCAGCTGGCTCCAAGCCAAGGTGGCGTGGCAGAGGCAAAATAGTTCATGATATAGTGGTGAGATGTGGGAAAAGAAAAGGGAAAGAAGGAGAAATTTTGTAGATAGTTAACATAGTTGTTCTACTGTCTTCTATTTCTTTGCTGAAAGAAACTGTTAATGAGTCCTTGATTGATCAATATTGCATGTCTCTGTCTTCATGAGAAACCACTTTGAAGATATCAATATGTAATACAACAAGCATTGTTAATTTTCTAACGCTTTGTAACTCTGTATTGTCTGTACTGTTCTTTTGCTATTTTGTAAAAGGTTGTCTGTCTGTTAATGTTTTCCTCCTTTTATTTTTAAAATAAAAAAAAGATATAGTGGTGAGAAGGGAGGGGAAGGAATGTGTACCCTTCTAGGCCACACCAACTGTGACCCACCTCTTCCACGAGGCTTCACTCCTAACACTGCAATCAGCTGTAACCCCATCAGTGGATTAATCCACCGGTGAGTACCACACACCCGTTATCCAGTCACCACTCAAAAGCCTCATGAGAGCATGAGGTTTTGGGGGGACATCTGGATGTAAAGCATTTTGCCTCTGGCCCCAAAAGACTCATGTGTATCCGTTTATGCAAAATGAATTTTTCAGTCTCTCCTTAAGAGTTGCCAAAGTCCTAACAGTTCAGTGTTGATGAAAAGTCCAAGTCCAAAGTCTCGCCTGAGATTTAAGGCAAACTCTTAGCTGTGAGCCCTATAAAAATGAAAAGAAAGTTAAACACTTTCAACGTGTCGTGGTGCAGTGTAAACATTCTTATTCCAAAAGATAGAAATAGGAAATTGAAAGGAATAGCACCAAAGCAAGGCTGAAATCCAGCAGAGAAAACATTAAGTCCTGTAGTTTCGTGTCCAGCACCCAAGGGCAATCTGTGGGAAAATGTGCCTCGTGACACTGTAGATGGTTGTAGCCTTCACAGCCTCTCTCTTGAGGTGGCCTTGTCACTCCTGTGGCTTTTCTCAAATATCCTTCATTCTGGTTTTTTCAACTTTCTGGTGTCTCCACCTTTGGCTTGTACTCACAGCTTCACACAATGCTCTCTCAGGGGCACCTGCCCTGGCCTCCCAGGACTTCTGAAATCCGGTCAAAAGCCTTCCTGACCCTTCTGCATGCATGGAAAACCAACACCATATGGGTGACATTGATGTCTACCACTTACTGGAGCAGTAACTGAACACTTGTAACTTGCAGCTGGTTGCAGAGCCCTCCGAGTGCCTGGATGGTTGATCACAGTGAACTGAATTCTGGGGAATCAAATCCCATTCCCTAGGCTGCCACCATTCTGGAGCATGGTGCCCTGGGGATCTCTTCTCAAAGCAAAGTCTTTCACCTTTGCAATTTCGAGCCTGCAAAGGATGAAATCCTGCTGGTTCTTGTGATGCTTTCCAGCTATTTTTTCTATTGTGCTGTTCCAAATTACAGCACAATTTTGATGCTAACCACAACCAAGTTCTCCCCTGCTCCATCTTTTCAGGCTACAACTTTACTGGAGCTTCCTTTCTGGCCAAACTCAAAACTTTAAAAATCATTCTGCTAGGCTGTTTGCTCTTGATTCTGAAGGTAGTGCTGGCTAAAAGCTTCAACAGTAGCCATGCTACTCCCTCAACATTAGATGGCCTTGAAACATCTTTCACCAGATTAATTAGTCCGTTGCCCTTAATCTCAGTCTCCTGCAATATTTCAGGATCAGGAGGAAAATTTAGACAAATTTTCTGCCAGAGCATAACACATATGGCCTGGAATCCAATTACTGATGCATCCTTGTTCCCAATTGAAATTTCTTGAGTCTGGCCTTTACTAGCTGCATTTCTATGAGCATGCTGGTCTTTTGAACTCTGATCAGAGTCTTCCATCAAGGTTGGCTTGCAGATTTTTAGGGCTGCTTCTTCAGGTGTATCTCCAAACCTTTCTAAACTTTTTCTGCAAGCCAGTTCCAAAGACTTCTGAACCACATGAACCACAGGAATGACTCCACTTCTGACACCAAAATTTTATTCATCTGGATTCCAGGAAAAGTAGAGTCTCATGTGACGATCATTTCATGGAAATGAGGATTCCTGCAGAGGTGGGAAACTAGGACTGAGATAATCATCAACCAGAGAGTGGGCCAGGGCAGCTAATCTTTAAAAGCTGGTCTTCTGCTTTTGTAGAATGTCTTTCACCAGACTGGCTTCTCCAGCTGTCCTGTCCTGTTTTTTCTTACTCTCCTTTGATAAGAGCTGCCTGATCCTTGTCAAAGTTCTTATCATTTTGTCTTTATTTCTAATGAAATCTTTTTGCTAAAAATTTTTGTTTTAGTTTTAATTTCTATTATCACTAAAAGTAAGGATCCATGATAGCCTGTGACATGTATATCTGTAACCAATAACCTTAGGAAACAAACCCAAGGGACAGGGCAGGGTGGGCAGGAATGTAAATCCATGAATAAAATTTGGATGCTTCAAATGAGGCAATTCCTCAGTGGAATGGTGAATGAGAATAAACTATTTCCTGAAAATAGCAAGCTAATTTTCTGTCTTGGTTTTGGATTAAAAACAAAATTGTGGACCTGGAGCAAATTTCCTGTGAGAAACCACATTATTCTTCCTCTTGAAGTCTCAGAAAGAACCTGACTTTTCTTTCAGTAACTGATTAAATAGGAACTAGAGTTTTGTCTGATAAATCTGAAACAGAGATTTGCTGGGCATGAGAAATCATAGCTTCAGATGCTTTTCTTTAGATTGCTTTTTCCCGAGTATATTGTAAGTACGACAGTGGCTGGGAAGGTGCTGCAGGTGTTACAGGCAACTAAGTTAGATAAAATGTTATAGGGAGTCAGATAGGGCTAGGTCCTGGAAGGAGCCAGTGCAGATTAGACACCTTGCAACTGTGTGAGAGATAGGCACCTCTGCTGTGGGCCAGACCTCAAGACAAAAGATAAAACAAGTGCACCCGCATACTTTCCTAAGGATAAACAACAGGAATGATATTCTAAATAGGTTTCTATTACCTTGAGGAAGCCAGGAAGAACCACTAACTCAATGCCCTCCAGGAAAGGCCCCTGTTCTGTATTCACGCCTGCTTGCTACTTGATTTGCTTCCCTATTTGATCCCAATTTAATCAAATTTACCTGAGCAATTATATTTGTAATCTCATAATCTGATTGGTTGACCATAATTTCATCCTACCTTGTGATTTCCCATTTTTCCCACCTTGGACCTGCCTCACATCATGGATTTGTTCTATAAAAACTCCTAGAAATGCCAGGATCCTGGGCAACCCACTTGGGATCCCATCTTTTTTCTCTCAGACAGAAGTTTTCTTTCCCTTAATAAATATATTCTGCTCTTAACCTCCCTTGTTCCTAAAATTTATTCTTTGATTTTAGAGAACACAAACTCCTACTAGACGTCCAGCAGGTGAGGAGTTTCTTTGCCCTATATTACAGGGACCCACACTACCCACAATTTTACAGGTAATTCAAAATTTTGAATACCTCGATGAAGATTACTGTTTGAGTTTTTATTAGCATTTTTTGGTAGTGCATTATAATCATCTTTGCTTTGGGGAACTGGTATATCCGTAAAGCATGTCCTGACATTTTTGATCCTTTTACTCCCCTTCCCTCTTCCTTTGTTTAATTTTTTAAGTGTTACATATTTGAATGTTTGAATGAGACCACCAGCACATTGAGTTCCTGACAAGCCTAGAGGCAGTGTGTCACCCAGCTGTAGCTTTGGGGTCCTGGCGAGGAACGCAATGTTCCACTCCTGTGTCCCTGCTCTGAAGCGCCTCCCAGGGCTGGTCTGGGCTCTGTGTCCACCATTGCTCTCTGTTCCTCATCTGACAGGTGTGGGAATTTCTTCATCCCTTCTTGAGACCCGTAACTCCTGAGACTCACCCAGGACTCCTTGGTGAAGGGGAAATTGTTTAATTTTTACTAAGGAAGAAAATAAATCTGAGTACACTGTGCTTGGATCTAAACTCATTTTCTGGGGATTTCAAATGAGTGATTTCTTCCTATCTTGTATTTTAATGAAACATGGGGATAGAATAAATGGAGACAGGCGGCAAAATATTTGGTCCAGTATAGGAAAGGAGGTTAAAATACGCAGAATCTGTGAAAGGGTGACCTTTCTTGGCACCTCACTCAGCTTTTGTCTTTCTACACTTGTCTCTCTTCCTCAGTTCCACAGGGAAAATAAAGTTGTCCTCTCTTGTCTATGGAGGATTCATTCCAAGATCCCCAATAAATGTCTGAAACTGCTGGCTTCTGAATCTCACATACAAGCCCCGCAGTGCTAGAACTGTCCGTGTTATAACTAAGGTGGCTGCTAAGTGACTACTGGGCAAGTGCTCTCTACAGCCTAGATGCACAGGACCAGGGGATGAGTCACATCCCAGTGGGATGGCGTGCAATTTAAAATCGATGAGTTGTCAATTTTTGGAGTTTTCTACTTAATATTTTACTTAATATATTCATTGAATCTTCCTTGTGATTGACCACAAGGAAGTGAAGCCGCACAAAATGAAACAGCATGTAAGGAGGAATTTTGTATTCTCTCATTTCATTTGTCCATCATGTTTTTAATTTATTTTTCCTTAATGTGGTCTATGAGGGTTAATCCTAACTGTGTCCATTTGATTGGCTTAAGAAACACTTGAGGATTGGTAAAGCACATTTATGGGAGTGTCCAGGCGGGTCATGGCATGACTCCACACGTCTGGCTCCGTCCTCTCTGGACCTGCTCCCCTCTCTGCTTCTCTGTCATGGTCAGCATCTTGCTGCAGCATGCCCTTCCACCATGAGCGACATTTCTGTCTTGGAGCTCAAAGACCCTGTACTGAATTCCCTTAAAATGTGAGCTAAATTAAGCTTCTCTTCCTTTAAATTATGGGTGTTGGTGTTGTGTCCCAGTGATGAAACCTGGTTAATAATGGTAAAAACCAGAAATTCTTCTAAGAGCTATGTCTTCAAGGGAT